AACTAGACGATCATGGATCGCTTACGTGGGCTTCCTGTGACAATGGTGTTTCATTTTCACAATATAGTCTTTGTTTGTAATAAGTCAAGACAGAATTAAGTTAATGTTATCAATTTATTACATCATAATTTTTTACCGAACTGAATTCTAAGTAAATTCTTTGGATACCATGTCTTTCTCAGTTTTTCAAAATAACTAGCTCGACTTTACGCTCAAGAGCGTCTATATTATTCAAAATAGCTCATAGGTCATATAGGTCACATAAACAATAGAAACGGTACAGTCTTGGCAGTATAACTTTGAATAATATTTTGATCATTTTAATCATGTATCTGTATCTTGTGTTTCTGTTCTTTTTTATTTGGTGTTTTTCATTAATTTGTAAATCTGGCGTTCTGTGCCATCATAAAGGTGTACCTTAGCCTTCTAATGACAGTTCATATTTTTGGATTTGTCTAAGTTTTTCAAGTTAAACAATCATCAAAACAAACAATAGAGAATTAAAATGCTTCATACACAATATAGATTTTGTATACAGAGTTCAGTAAAGCTCACACGTGCAGTTTTCCGAACTTCAAACACATCGTTAGTTTAGAAAATGGCATCAATATTTTTCAGATGAGGTTTGATATGCTTTATTCCATCGAATGATTGTTTTCTGTCAAAGTATGAACCTTAAATATCCATGTGATTTCTTATTTTTGAAGATTTTGTGTTTGACATCGAACACTTGTGTGACGAAGAAGAACTGCTCTTCGAGTCGGCGGTAGAAAATGCCCAGTCATTTCTGCACGAATCATCCGCTAATCTTGAATTATATACCTCAATCCATGTTGTTTGAATGGTAATCAGTTGATTTTGTAAGATTTTCAGCTCTTTAGAGCATTTTAGCTACATTTTAGAACCATTCGAAACGAGACAACTTTTTCGCCGTCTGTCAACCATTTTGTTTTCATTCTGAGACTGCAGTCCATCTGCAAAGCAGGCGCTACCAAAAATCGCTGATTGCATATCAAAGAATAGTCTCCTTCACGGTTACCTGCGCCATCTTGAAAGGTAGCCGTGCCTTGTCATCGAAGCGAGACAACCGTTKAGCGTGCAATGATAGAAACCTTCTTTCACACCTATAGACAATTATTCACAGGTATCTATCATTGCACGCTCAACGGTTGTCTCGCTTCGGTGCAAAGGCACGGCTACCTTTCAAGATGGCGCAGGTATCCGTGAAGGAGACTATTGCCCCACAAAAGTTATCCTTCGTTTAGCAGCCATATATGGTAATCTTACCTTATTTGGAAGTTCGATAGGAATGGTTTTTGTCGATTTTCTCGACTTTTAAAGCTTGAAATCGTCGGAAACTTGCAGATATTATAGCGAAAACACTTCTAAACAATCCGCCATTTTGTTTGTTTCCATATATGGCATGGATTTGCTAAAGGAAGCCCAAAACTAAAAAGCACAGGGAACCCGCACGAATGATAACAATTCTTTGATATGGTTTATTTTGACATCTCCATGGAAACTGAGACTGTAACGCATGCGCTATCGATGCGCTACCAATTTGAAGCGTAATATTCACCACGACGACACCACGACGAAAAAACCAGTTGCATTTTTAGACGTGGACTTCCACAGGAAGCCCACGTAATCAATACTGGGTCCCAATTAAACACTGACCTCTATTGTTTCCTTTCGTCTTGCAAGTTCGTTTGGGCTTTGTTAGTTAACCGAAATATCTATAATGGGGTCTATTATTGCGCAGTCCCTAAAAACAAATGCACTTTAAGGTATTTCGATCGTAATAAATAGCGCTTCGCGCGTAGTTTTAAACTCCAACTACGTCGCAAATTTGGATTCCATTGCACTCAAATTTTCACAGAAGTAACATTGATTATCGATAATTCTTGTTGATAAATTAATTTGCCAAAAAGCGAAGCCATTTGGATAAACGATGCAAAATAAAAACACCTTCATTTTTCTTCAAAGTTAATTTTCTCGAAACTCATCGCAGAGATTGTAATAAAATTTTCAGAATCATTTTTTAATAACATAATTGATATACTGACGAAGTTTCAATAAAATCTTAACCTAAAATTTCGATTTGTTTGAGCAAAATGATGTACATTCGAACAAATCGAAATTTTA